GTCGACGTCATCTCTCTTTCAGTAGCAGTAGCACAGCTGTACCTGAGCTTGACCAGCTGCACAGTACTGAATGGTAGAATAGTATCAAGTGATGCAGAAACTGTCCACAGAGCAGAAGTAGAACCAGAACCAGAACCCAGAACCAGAACCAGAGCCAGAACCAGAGCCAGAACCAGAGCCAGAACCCAGAGCCAGAACCAGAGCCAGAACCAGAGCCAGAACCAGAGCCAGAACCAGAACCAGAACCAGAACCAGAGTTGGAACCAGAACCAGAGTTGGAACCAGAACCAGAGTTGGAACCAGAACCAGAGTTGGAACCAGAACCAGAGTTGGAACCAGAACCAGAGTTGGAACCAGAACCAGAGTTGGAACCAGAGCCAGAGTTGGAACCAGAGCCAGAAGTAGAACCAGAACCAGAGTTGGAACCAGAGCCAGAAGTAGAACCAGAACCAGAGTTGGAACCAGAGCCAGAAGTAGAACCAGAACCAGAGTTGGAACCAGAACCAGATTGTTCACCAGAGCCAGATTGTTCACCAGAACCAGAGTTGGAACCAGAACCAGATTGTTCACCAGAGCCAGAGTTGGAACCAGAGCCAGAAGTAGAGCCAGAGCCAGAAGTAGAACCAGAACCTGGAGCAGCAGTTTCTTGGGATGGTGAACCACCGTGTCCAACAGTCAATGTAGTGTGTTCAATGACAGTCTCAACTCTATCACCAGCCTTGGATGCTTCTGAGACAGCAGATTTGGCATAATCAACAGCACGCGATGATTCTTGTGCATGTGCAGCACTCAATTGGACAGAAGCAGCAGACGATTGAACTTCGACCAAAGAAGTTTGTTTGGCAATGCATGATTCTTGAACTTCAATCAATGAAGTAAGAGTAACATAAGCAACAGACTCAACGGATTTGATGGAACTCAATTCACTTTCACAGCTGGCAACAATGTCGGTCTTGTGGGCAGATTCAGCACTGGACTTGACAGATTCAAGAGAGCTCTTGGCCGATTCACAGGAGTAGATGGTGGTGACAACCTTGTCTTGCTCCTTCGAGGCAGAGCTTTGTTCGGACTTGGCACTGGATTGCTCGTCACAAGCAGAGGATTGTTTAGCAGAAGCAGACGTTTGTTCACAGTATTCAGTAACATGGGAAGTGATGATAACAGTTTCAGTAGTCACGTGACCCTCATCATCAGTACAAGTTTCGGTAACTGTAAGAGTGCCTGGTAAGTCACTTGGTTTAGCAGTAGTCGTAGTAGTGGCGGTATTAGTGGCAGTGTCACTCTTGGTTGTAGAATCAGTCTTGGTGTTAGTACAGACTCCAGACTCACAATGAGAACCCTCACCTTCGCCATCAGTAGCAGTAGTGGATTCGGATTCAACAAGTGTAGATTCACCAGAAGTATTTTCGACATCTGACGCAGTAGTGGATTCAGATTCAGTAGCAGCTGAAGATTCAGTAGCAGCAGAAGATTCAGCAGCACTGGATTCAGCAGCAGAGGATTCAGCAGCAGAACTGGATTCAGCAGCAGAGGATTCAGCAGCAGAGGATTCGGCAGCAGAGGATTCAACACCAGAGGATTCAGCAGCAGAGGATTCAGCAGCAGAGGATTCAGCAGCAGAGGATTCAGCAGCACTGGATTCAGCAGCACTGGATTCAGCAGGAGTGGATTCAGCAGCAGAGGATTCAGCAGCACTGGATTCAGCAGGAGTGGATTCAACACCAGAGGATTCAGCGACAGAGGATTCAGCGACAGAGGATTCAGCGACAGAGGATTCAGCGACAGAGGATTCAACACCAGAGGATTCTGCTGGAGTGGATTCAGCAGGAGTGGATTCAGCAGCAGAGGATTCTGCTGGAGTGGATTCAGCGGCAGAACTGGATGCTACCTCATCAACAGGAATACCAGCAGAAAGATCAACATCAGTTTCAGTACCATCCGTGTCGATAATAGAATCAATAAAATCGTCGACGTCATCTCTCTTTCTGGTTGAACCTTCTTGCAAGTGGACTTGGAACAATTTGGTGTGCAACTCGAACAAGACTCTAGCAGGAATGCTAACTATTCTTCCAGCACTACGGATATCATTGGTGTATTGATTACCACTTACACGTGCATAGTAGTATTGGATATTGTAATCTTGGGATGAGACAAAGTTGAAGAATGTTTCTAAGTAATCTGGGATTTCAAAGTCACAGACACCAGTGGCATAATCAACCACGGAGATTTGTTCACCATTCAAGAAACAGGCCACCTCGGATGGGGTTTCAGAAGTAACTTCATCTGATGTGACGGAAGGTTCATCACTGGTTGCATCAACAGTGGATGATACATCACTAGTAGCACTTTCTTCAGGAGCAGATGTCACTTCAGTACCGGATGATTCTTCAGCAGGAGTAGATTCAGCAGGAGTAGATTCAGCAGGAGTAGATTCAGCAGGAGTAGACTCAGCTGGAGAGGATTCAACTGGAGTAGATTCAACAGGAGTAGACTCAACTGGGGTGGATTCAACTGGAGTAGATTCAACTGGGGTGGATTCAGCTGGGGTGGATTCAGCTGGGGTTGATTCAATTGGGGTGGATTCAGCTGGGGTTGATTCACCAGGGGTGGATTCAGCAGGAGAGGATTCAGCAGGAGAGGATTCAGCTGGAGTAGTTTCAGCTGGAGTAGACTCAGCTGGGGTTGATTCACCAGGGGTGGATTCACCAGGGGTAGAATCAGCTGGACTAGATTCAACTGGGGTGGATTCAACTGGAGTAGATTCAACTGGGGTGGATTCAACAGGAGTAGACTCAGCAGGAGTAGATTCAACTGGGGTTGATTCAACTGGGGTGGATTCAGCTGGAGTAGACTCAGCTGGGGTTGATTCACCAGGGGTGGATTCACCAGGGGTAGAATCAGCTGGAGTTGATTCACCAGGGGTAGATTCAGCTGGGGTAGATTCAGCTGGAGTAGATTCAGCTGGGGTTGATTCAACTGGGGTGGATTCAACAGGAGTAGACTCAGCAGGGGTTGATTCAGCAGGAGTTGATTCAGCAGGAGTAGATTCAGCTGGAGTAGACTCGACTGGGGTGGATTCAACTGGACTAGATTCAGCTGGGGTGGATTCAACTGGAGTAGATTCAACTGGAGTAGATTCAACTGGAGTAGATTCAACTGGAGTAGATTCAACTGGGGTGGATTCAGCAGGAGAGGATTCAACAGGAGTAGACTCAGCTGGGGTTGATTCACCAGGGTGGATTCAACTGGGGTGGATTCAGCTGGAGTAGAATCAGCTGGAGTAGATTCAACAGGAGTAGAGTCAGCAGGAGTAGATTCAACAGGAGTAGAATCAACAGGAGTAGACTCAGCAGGAGTAGATTCAGCTGGGGTGGATTCAACAGGAGTAGATTCAGCTGGAGTAGATTCAACAGGAGTAGAGTCAGCAGGAGTAGATTCATAGGGGTAGATTCAGCAGGAGTGGATTCAGCAGGAGTAGATTCAACTGGGGTGGATTCAGCTGGAGTAGTTTCAGCTGGAGTAGACTCAGCTGGCGTTGATTCACCAGGGGTTGATTCACCAGGGGTGGATTCACCAGGGGTAGAATCAGCTGGAGTTGATTCAGCAGGAGTAGACTCAGCAGGAGTTGATTCAGAAGGAGTAGACTCAGCAGGAGTAGACTCAGCAGGAGTAGATTCAGCTGGAGTAGAGTCATTATGAGAAGACTCAGCCGGAGTCGATTCAACTGGAGTAGATTCACCTCGAGAAGATTCAGCTCGGATCGATTCAGCTGGAGCGGATTCAGGTGGAGTAGATTCAACTGGAGTAGATTCACCAGAAGAGGATTCTGCTGCAGTGGATTCCGCTGGAGTAGATCTCAGCAGCAGTAGACTCAGCTGGGGCTGACTCAACAGGAGAAGAGTTCCCTGGGAGTAGATTCAGCATGAGAAGATTCAGCTGGGGTTGATTCACTAGGGGTTGAGTTCAGCAGGGAGTAGATTCAGCAGGAGTAGATTCAGCAGGAGTAGATTCAGCAGGAGTAGATTCAACTGGAGTAGATTCAACTGGGGTGGATTCTGCTGGAGTGGATTCTGCTGGAGTGGATTCTGCTGGGGTTGATTCAGCAGAAGAGGATTCTGCTGGAGTGGATTCTGCTGGAGTGGATTCAACTGGAGTAGATTCAGCTGGGGTGGATTCACCAGGGGTGGATTCAGCTGGGAGTAGATTCAGCAGGAGTAGACTCAGCTGGGGTTGATTCACTAGGGGTTGATTCAGCAGGAGTAGATTCAGCAGGAGTAGATTCAGCAGGAGTAGATTCAGCAGGAGTAGATTCAACTGGAGTAGATTCAGCTGGG